ACTGCCTCCCCGGAGAGAAGCAGGCCCGCCCCGGCCCCGGGTGCGCTGGAATTGACCCTGACCACCTCCCCACACTGGAACTGGCCCAGGGCCAGCAACCCTCCTGGCAAGGCGGACAGCTCCTGCTCGGACTCGAGAGTCAGCACTGAGCACAAAGCACAGGGTGCGATTTCTCCGAGGGTCAGCAGAGGCAGAGGGCAAACCAGGCACTGGCCTGTCGAACGGACCCGAGACACGTGTCACAGCCTGCCCACAGCTCACCCGGGACCCTGCTCCAAGCTGCAGTCTCCCACCCCGGAGGCTGGTGCGCTGTGCCCGGTTTCTCTCCCCTCCAGATCCTTGTCCTGGCCTTTCCTTCCAGCACGGGTTGAGTTAGCTGCATTTGCACCTGGGGCCCTCTGGGTAGCACAGTTGCCCCTTCCCAACCCCGGCCCAACTTGCTCAGGTCGAGTTGCAAACCCAGGAGCAGGAAACAGCAGCTCTGAAGGCAATGCCAGTGGCGATGCCCCGAGAGAAAAGCCGTAGCACCCACCTGCACCGCATGCATGGGAGCTGCCAGCCACCACCACCAGCAGAAATCCCCAGGCAGGGAATTGCAGGGGACACCCAGAGCCAGCCAGCCCACCGGACCTAGCCCTCAAGCATGTGTGGGCAAGACCCTCTGTCATGGGGAGCCCAATTACAAAACCAAGAGCCACAGTGCAATGCCACCCACTCAGCTCCCATAGCAATCACAGGGCTGACGCCATCTCCTCTCCAGAGAGCGGGAAAGCTGCACCGGAGGGGTGTTATCAAATGCTAAGGATGCTAGCCCTTGCCTTCTGCTGCTGCCCTGTCTAGTCCCTGCAGAGCCTCGGTGGGTACAAATGCCCACGCTGCTGCGATGGCCTGATGTTCTTCCGTGCTTTCACAGAGAAAGCACGGCAGCAGCACCGGCCCTGTGCAGGGCTCCAATGTCACCCTCGTTCACAGCACTTCTCTGCCCCCCCTCCCAAGGAGACCTGCCTGTGAGCAGCCACAACAGCCACCCAAGCTGCTTTCACCAGCAGAGACAGGGCCATGCCACGGCCATAAGGAATTTAGCTTCAGAAAAAGTCTCTTCCTTGACAGAGACCCTCTGCTAAGCTGCTATGGATGAGGGGGTGATTGGGACAAGGAGGAGGCCTGGAGCAGCCCCCTTCTGCAGGCATGCACGGGGAAGAGGCAGGAGGGATGGCATCAAGCAGCTGTGTGCTGCTCGGGGCGACGGGACGGGGCTGGTTGAAAACGGGTGACAATAAACAACTGCCGTACGCTACAGCTCGAGTCTGCTGCCTTGGCCACCGGCTCGGAGGCCTGCTCTACCCCTGAAGCAACACAAGCCCATGACCGACCATCATGTCTGTACCTTGAACGTGCCGGTTCTTCCGCCAAAAGTGTCCCCAGTGGCCATCTGCTCAGAAGGGCTCAGCTGGTCAGTCATCGTGCCTGGAAAATCCCGAATCACAAGGCGTCAGCACCAGGCCAGGTTCATCATGTCCCGTTAGTCAGGCACTAAAGCGGGTGCTGGAGCGTCAGGCACCTGCTGATGATGAGAGCATCTCGCCTGACCTGCAGCATGACACAGGCCAGAGCATCCGACCCAGCCATTCCCGTAGAGCCCAGTCAGCGGGATGGGGATAGCAATGACACCATCTACAAAGGCTCAGGTGGGGGCATGGCAACACCACAGCCTCTGCAGAGCCGCTCCAGCAGCTAGTGGCGTTCACTGCCACCACTTCTCAGCATGGGTTGATCTGGGTCTGCAAGGCCATCAAGCATCCCCTGACTACACTCTCTGGACATGGCCCAGCCCCATTCAAACGGCATCTTTCAATCAGCACCAGGATGTCAGTGGCTGCCTATCTCGGCACATCCCCTGCCCCTTTGCAAGCCCATGCGAGGACACAGCTGGCCAGCCATTCCTTTGCCCTAATCACCAGGAATTTGCAGGGCCAGTGGAGAAGAAAAAAAGAAACCAAGCTCCACTCTTGCCCTTGCAAAAAAATACTAATTAAAGCCCCATGGCACGGCTCCCGAATGGGAACATTGCTCTGCTAACGTGCCCGTGCTAACTGCTAGAAGCAACCCAAGTCAAACGAGCGTGGCCACCAGTTGCTGCTACCTCTTCCGGAGGAGTTTCGGCTGTGCCGGGCCAGGCCGGGAGGCTGGCATATTTATGGGGTGCCTCTGAATAGAGCAGCACACAGTTTTGATGCTGATGCAGCAGCTGTCTGTTGAATTCCGTACAGCAGATTTCACTTCAATAGCAAGGGCTCGCGGCACGCTGTGGAAACAGTATTCAGATATCTCCCCACCGCGCCTTAGACCCTGCCGCACAGATTAGTGGCGAGCTCCGCATCAGCATGTTCACACTGCTCCTCTCCAGACTCTTTGGAAAACTCCCCCATCAGCGGTTTGCGGAGGGCCCCAAGCCGAGCACGGCAAAAACGGTGCAACACACTGACGGCGTGTTGCCAGCCTCGAAGTGAGCTGGGGTAGGGCAAGGGCTCGGTGTCGGGGGGTGCCTGCGGTCCCGCAGCCGGGGAGCCACTTACCTATTGGATGATGACACGCGAGCTGCTGGTCTCCATCCTCCTCTCCCTTCCCATCCTGTCCCTGTGTCACCCATTGAGATCTCACACCGATGCTAGGGAAAGGCATCATCCTTCTCCCCAGATGCACACCTTTAGGCCTGTTGCTGCCTCCCCGACCTCCCCCAGCAATCCTTCTCCTGGGGACCTCATGATAAATGCAGTTGTGCTGGCAGACGCAGGGGTAACCCATCCATGTGTTACACTTGGGAGGAAGGAAACTCGGAGTTGGTCGGTCAGGACTACTGAAAAATGCCTGGTGCAGACAGAGATCTGTCCCTTGGCAGGGGATGGATCTTGGGCTGGGTAGGAGCACACTGAAGTTTTGGAGTCTCCTACCCCCAAAAGCCCCTTCAGTGCCAAGTGCACATCATGCACTAGGGTCAGCCGGGCTCAGCTGGGTGCAAATCAACCTTGCAGCCAGGCACCCTGGCTCAGCCCTGATGAAGGCAAGCACTTAAGTACGTGCTTAGCCATGAGCCCACAAGCCAGGCCCATGCCCTCTGCAATAGAGCCCAAGCACCGCGCAGAAAACAGGCAGGCGAGGAGCAGCCAGCGCTGGAGCAGACCGCGTTTGGTCCGAGGGCACAGCCGCCAGTGCTTTCACCCATCACCGTCTCCTGGCCTCAAGCCGGAGTCATAATTCAGGAGACAATCCAAGAGCCGCTTTGTTATTCACCTAGATGCTGGGGGAGACTTTTGCGGGGTTGTTTTTAACAAGTGTGGGAGTGTGGCCTGGGTGCGTGGCTCCAGGGGAAGCACAAGAGTGTCTCGGTGGTGTGAGCAGGGAGCAGGCCAGGGGACGGGTGGAGACGGAGGGGCAGGGATTGCAGGGATGAGCCAGGCAAACGCTGGCAAAAACCTGCCATCCCAGCATCGTCTGTGCATTGCTCGTAAAGGCCTGATCGCTCGCAGCATCACGCCATGGCCCTCAGCGTGGCTCCAGACCCTACCCAGGGAGGGTGGGATGAAAGTCACCGTCTCAAAGACACTTCTGCCATTTCTCTTTACCTGAAGCCTGGGCAGTCCTCCCCAGGGCAGAAATGGGCTGGGCGACAGGCTGCAACGACCCGTTTTCATGGCAGAGCTGTTCTGAGAGCAGCCGGCACGCGGTGAGACGACGCGAAACCCTCCACGAAATGCAAGCGGCACCACAGCTTCGTACTGTAATTTATTGTCGTGGTTTGCAACACACCCTGCACATGCGGAGAGCCACCAAAGACAGCAGTGCACCGACACTCATGTTTATTGCAGCTTCTTTTCACATTTCCCCCCATCCACGAATACGAAATCTCACGGTTGTAAAACAGAGACCACCACTTCCATACAGAGCAACGAGCACTCAGGGAGGGATCAGAAGAGGAATAACCTGCCAAAGACTCATATGACACTGTGATTTTTCCCGTTTAACATTCAAAATATAGGCATTTTCCCCACGGACTCATTTCTTGGTAGCATCCTCACTTGCATTGAGTTTTGCAATGACTGAAGTGCCCATAAATCCTACTTTGTTTTCCACGCTCATGGAGCTTGAACATTGATAAGGCAGTTGCAAAACATGACAGAGGGGACGATGTCTCATATTGATTTTCTTCCAAGCTGAACTCACTTTCCTCTTGCTGTCAGCTTCTTGAACCCCTTTGAGAAACACTTGCAGCACGTGGTTAGAAAATATTCTTCTTTTTTTTTTTAAATACCTGGCAAAGCTAAACTTGGAATCAGTCATACAATAAGTTTCACAACAGCCAGAATATCCATTTTACGTAGGAAACTATGTAGTACAAAATATTTTCTATAGCACAATATATTTATTAACTGTGTGATCTGTATTTACAGGGTCTATAAGGCTATGTGGAACAATATAAAAAATTTGAACTATACAATAGCTCCTTTAAACAGGCCAAGATACAATCAGCATGTCTGAAGTGGTCAGAAGATAATCCTCCAGACCTTCCCCTTCCTCTCCAAAACCCATCAAGAGATGTGAAAAAGTATTTTGAGAGAGAGCTTCATTAAAAAAAATAATATTGATAATAATAATAATAATACTCCCAGCTGCTGGGACCAGAGCCAACAGTGCCTGAGGGACAGCACACTGCTATGACAGGAGTCCCAGGCGGACCCTGGAAGGGAAATACTTGACACTGCTCATCACAGCCCCCTGCCCTGTGCCACGGCTATGACACCTGGCTCCGGGCAGAGAGGTGGCTCACCATGTCCACCTGAAGTCAGGCAGGAAGGGGGCACCTTAGACACTTAACCGGCTTGGAGAGGCCCGAGTTTTCATAGGCAGCAACCCGCTGTGTCAGGCTATGCTGCCTATGAAAGCTTACTTCTGAAGCAGGCCGCTTCCAAGGTGCTGCCCTACCCTGGCCTCTTCCTTGCTTTGGCCAGAAAACCTTGGCCACGTCCACCTGGGGCAATAGAGGACTTGGTGCACGTGCACCCAATTCAGGCCTGTGGAGGATGGAAAGGCCAGGTCTTGCTTGGCATGCTTTTGCTTGGACGCAGGCAAACTAAGCCTGCAACACACGCCCGAGGAGACCAGCAGAGCCGTGGCTGGCCCCTGCCTTGCCATGCCGTGGATGGGGTGGTTTTGCCCTCCGGTGCACGTCCCTGTGGAGGGGGCAGGCTGCAAATGCCCTTTCCTAACCGGATAGAGCTGGCCCACACACGCTTCTACAGCCCCCGTCACTGCAGTCCCCCGGTACCTCCGACACGGGCTAGCGGAGGTGAGTCCCTACACAATGATCCAGGGCATGGGGAGTGGGGACTGCCATGGCCCTTCCAGTAAAACAGCGGGTGCAAGAGCAACCCAGGATGGAGTGGCCCGTCTGACGGGAGGACCGACACAAGGGAGTTTTCACGGTAGTGAAGAGTGCCAGTGGGATTCCCGACTTGCCACAACCACGATTAGCTAGCGCCCCTGCCCCCGAGGACCTCGACGCCCGTCTCTCCCGTCTACTCTGAATGCAGGATCGCTCGGCAAAAACATTTCCCTCCCAACAGCTGTTTGGTGTTCGTCTCTCACAAGAAACCCGTGCACAAATCTCACAAGGGTCGTTGGCGTTGTCAGCTACACTCTTTCCCTCTTGAGGCTCCGGGCGTTATCCCTCGAGAAGCACCATGCCCAAAGCATCTGGTCGCAGCCCAGATTAAAGGTGAGCTCGGTTCAGCAGGCTTCAGCATCGGCCCGACGGGGGAAGGTATTCACATGGTAATGAGGGACAAAACGAGCCAGACCGAGGCTCTCCACTACATCGGCCCTTCTGGCCTCATCCAAAGGAAACGCAGTTCACTAAGCAAGCAGGGAGCCCTTCCCGCCAAGGACAGCCACTGGGGACAGACCAATCACCTTTCACCATCCTTCACAAAACACTGTGCCGAACCCATGCCAGTCATCCTGCACAGGCAGCCTCTGCCCCCCCGACCCCCGAGACGCTCTCATCCAACACGGGTGCAACGAGTTCACTGCAAAACGCACTTCCAGCATCGCAGAGCTGTAACAGGGGACACAGGGGATGAAGATCGCAGCTGGCTTCTCTGGGTGGCAGCACGTCAGAGGGCTCCTCGTGCTGTAGGCCGTACTTGCCTTGCCACTGCTTTGCCTTAGAAAGACCTCACCCCCTACTCCGTTATAGTCCTGTACATGCAACCGCCTCAACAGTGGAATATTCTACTAATTCAAGGTAAAACCGCAAAGTGCAACAACAGAAACGTCACGATGAAATCACTGCTGCGGCTGGAGAACGCACTGGAACAAGTCCGCAAACAAGCGTTTCTGAATCCGTCACTGGCTGCTTCTGACCTAAAATGTGTCTGGTAGCTTGCCAGCAATGAGTGGGGGGAACCAAAAATATGGCAGAGTAAAACTGTGCGTCTGTTCAAGCAACAAGCTTCTTTTTTCTTTTTATTCCTACATGATTGCGATAAAAAACCCAACACGTTTCAAAGGCCAGAAAGCAGCAAGAGGGCATCTTTCTATACAGCAGATAAAACAAACCAGTAAGTCTGACCTGGCTTGTAGGAAGCACAAAATTGTACAACGTGTAAATGAGGGGAATTTGCCAAACTGAAACGGAAGACACCTGCAACGGTCCAACAAATAAGAAATGCAGAGGCAGTACAAATCTGAACATGAGAAGGATCAAGTCAGGGGAAAGATGCTCCTAATTCCAGTTCAGAGGCACCAGCCTGATTTACAGTCACTTTTTTAAAATACTGATCTACTGATGTGGGAGGAAAAGCAGCGTACACAGGAACGACCTGAACTGGAGAAGACAAAGCTTGCTCTGCTGGAGCTCCCGTACGCTACCGGGAGTGCCAAACGCTCGCTTCTCCCCAGCCATCGTGCTTGAAGAAAAGAGCTCAAGCAGAGGCGAGTTAAATGACTCCGAAAATAAACTCCAAAAGTTATTAATTAACAAAAAAAAAACCATACATGAAGAACATGCAGAAAGCTAAGAGTTCACTCCTGCCTTAGAATAACAGCGAGATGCAATTTGTGGCCTGGCAGACCAAACAAAGAAGGTGAGAAATGTAATAAGGATCATTTGAAATTAAAATGAAATTCTACAAAAGCAGAGACTTTTGTGTATGTAATAATTAATGAGCCGCTAATATAAATGTTATACTACATGATGGGAACGTGGAGGGCAGGAAATAGGCCATTAATTCATATGTGGTACAAAGAAATGAGAGATCAGAAAAACACACTTTCCCGTTCAACCACATTCTAAAGATTTCTTTTTTAATCAGACATATTTAAGATTAAACATTTCTCAGCAGTTATTCAACTACTCAGTACAGTAAATTTCAGTGCATTGTCCAAGCAGAAGTGGAAACGCATACATATTCAAAGGGCTCTGCTAATATCCAATCACAATCCCCCTCAGTTTCCCAGCATGCACAGCAAACCCTGCAGCTAACAACCCAAAGAATTCGTGGCTTTTGTCCGGTGACATCAGGGAGCGTCAGACGAAACGCGCTGCCTGGCATTAAAGAGACGCCGCCGACCCGCTGAATCCCGACATCGCTCCCCCACCGCCCAAGTGTTCTTGAGACTCGGTGAAACGTACCTGGGCTTCAAACACTTCTCAAGAAAAAAGGCACCCAACACACTTAGTGCGGGGCAATTAAAAAAGCCCCATAAAAAACCGCAACCGACGTGCTGCCGTCACCTGCAGAAACCCTGCCGCTAATTAAATACTGCTCAAATTGTACGTGCCAACACTGTCGAGAACATCTGTGTGCAGCTGCCAAGACGTGGGGGGTGTTGCATTAAAAACAGAAGCGCACACA